CACTGTGTGGCTGTAAGTGCAGCCATCACAGGGTCATTACCAGTTACTGCAACAGCCTGTCTGCAGTTCTTGTGCCAAGGGTGGCACAACCAGCAATTAAGTTTATGAGCGATTTCACAAAGGCCAGGTGGGCTTGGATTACTTTGTAAATGATCATTGGATTTGCATTATGAAATGCAAACGTGACAAATATGCAACAAACAAGACATCAGGAAGAGGCCAAATACTTTTTGACTGCACTGCCTCTTCAGCTGCCAAATGGCAGAATCACAGTTCACTGCAACTGCAGGCAACACTGCCAGCCACCGCCTCCATTGCAGTGGTGAAAACTGTGAGTATGTGAACTCATGATTGCTCTGTGGCAACACAGACATACCAGCAGCATTTCAGGGGGATTATTATGAGGAACTGCACACACTTATCACACACACTGAGCTCAGATAAGATAAAAATGTCATTGATCCCTATGGTTGCAATGCACACCCCATGGTGCGGTTGTGAAATGAAAGGATTTGGTTTTTCTTGTTCCCTTGTTGCACAGTTTGAAACGAGGTAAAACTTTGTAAATGCAGCTGGGAAAGATTCTCATTAGAGTGGGCTGTGAAAGTACAATAATTGTGGATGGCAAAAGAAATTAGTATAAAGGTTAGTTAATTAGGAAGCTGGCTGTTACAGGCTCTATGACTTAATGCATATTAGTCACCTATATGCAAATATGTCCTGCACTATTCATAGCTGGAAGGCATGTGTAAAACGGGCTCTGTGTATACATCATTCAACATACAAAGAAAATTAACTGGATTAAATAAGCTTGATACAGCTAATACCTGAATTGAATCCTATCTTATTGTATATTTTATTCTATTTTATTCTACTGTATATAGTATTTTATTTTATTCTATTCTGTACAGTTGTGTACTGTATTTATTCTTATTGTATTCTAATTTTTGCTTTATAACTTTTGCACTGTCCACTTCCTGCTGTGACAAAACAAATTTCTGTTCTGTAGTGTGGGACTAATAAAGGTTATCTTATCTTATGCTGCTTCTCTTCTATTATATGTGCACTTTTCTTCCTAGCAAAACTTAAAATAGCTCCAGTTCATTGAAGATTCAAATTCAAATTCATTCTGTGGCACACAGCCTAACAAATACAAAACAAATAAAAGAAAAATCAGTACCCCTGTTGTGTAGAATCAAAGTCTCTGTTATCTTCTAGTCATAACGCCACTGTGCCTGGCATTCACTACACTCATCATCATGCTGTCTCATCAATGCTCCAGTGGTTAAACCCTTTATATAATGATGCAGTATTGTCTCAAAAAGTTGGCTGGACTTGTATTATACAGTGATGATGAACTAGGAGCCACCTGATTTATTTCCAAAGCTTTCCTGCCAAGGCTTTAAGAGTACTTCACATCTCATCTCCATTTATATTATCAACAGGAACGTACAAGTCTTGGGAAAAAACACCAAGTGCACTATTCACTGCTGTAAGGATCAAACTGCTGTTAGAGGCCTACAGTTAGTATTTAGATTTTTTCTGCCTCAGTGTGCTATTTGAAGAGTTTTCACATTCATTTGGGAATTTAACAAAAATATAAAGAACAGTAATTCCAAAACAGATTACACAATAGGGCAATAAAGTGTCCCTGCTCACTGTAGATCTCAGTGGACCTGCTAAAGGTTTCACATCTTTCTTTGATACTTTTTTAAATTTTCAACACATTATCTATGTTTATGTGATATTGTTGAGACACTACAAAATATATCAAAAGGACGCGTTTTACATTTAAAACACATTAAATGGAACAAATAAAATAACATAATTAAAAAAAATAAGCGCAGCAGGGAATCAAGTTTGTTTCCCTTTCATTGAGTTCAAAACCTTTGAAGACGGACCTCAACCACAACGTAAGGTTACCTTTCAAAATAAAAGCAAAACAAAATCATCCGCACTGAAAAATGCACAACAAAGTTTCCGGCGCCTCTTGGTGAAAACGTTAAGTTGAGCTGACAATTATGCAGATAATACTCCGAGAAGCTTCCGCATCCTACGAACACGTTTCTTCTTTAAATCTCCGCTAACAGCGTAACTGTACGTCAGTTACGCGGGTTCGGAGCTCGCGCGTAGTCGACGCACGTACGTGGAGCTGGAACAGAAATTAAGCGAACTGTCCATGAAACACTGGAGAAAAGCGTTTTCTTTCGTTTCGTTCACTCAATTCTGACAACAGCCCCGCTTAAACACCGTCATCGGGGACAGAGAGTCTCCGTCTCTTTACATCCAGCTGCTGTTTGGTGGCCTGCGTTATTCCACAGAACAGCAGCAGGTGAGTCACATCGGGTTGTTGCTAGTTTCTGTTCTCTGAAACGGTCCCAGGCTGTTATGCCATATACAGCGTCTCTGGTGCTGTTTTTGTCCTCCACGATGAAAACAAACAAACATAAAAATGATTCGTGTTTATCGTTGAAAACGGCCAGCACTCAAACAGGTTTGGCAGGAACATTTCCTTGTCCCGTTGCGTCTTTGTAATATGTATACAAATCACTGCGCATGCGCGAGCCACGAGCCCCTTTTTTGACAAGCTAAAGCTTAGGTCCTCGTGTACCGTTTACTAATGACGACAGTTGGTTACAGTGTGACACAAAGACATTTTGAAGGCATTTCAAGCTCTTAGTCTTCTTTTAAAATAGATAAATTGTGTCCTGAGACTTCCTGTGCATATTTACGGCAGTCACAAGTTTATGATTTTTTTATCTCATTCCTTTTTTTTTTCAATTAGATGAAAGAAGCAATGCCTGAAAAACATGTCTCACAAAGAAGATAACGAGGAGAAGAGGCGGTAAGGAGTACAAACAAACAGCATGACACTTTCAATAGCGCTTATTAACGCACTGGGGAAATCACTGCATGTAAATAAAATACACACTTTTGACTTTCCTCTTTCAGCTGCCACCGCACTGATTTGTATGCCAGCATCCCTCGAACATGTCTGCCTATTGTGTACCACCCAGACTACAACATCACTTTTATGGGCCTTGAAAAGCTTCATCCGTTTGATGCGGGAAAGTGGGGGAAAGTCATCCGCTTCTTGAAAGGTAAGCGAGTTAAGAACAGAGTGGCAGATGGGGAGGATATCTCCCTGAGCTGATGAACACTGAATCACCCAGACTGAGGTCATAAAGGCGAAAAGAGCCGGAGAACAAAGCAGAAACAGTGGAAGAGGTAGTTGTAGTTGAAGAAGAGGGAGTAGGGGAGGCAGAGCAATAGAGCACAGATAATTAGAGAAAAGTCCCTGTGGGAGTTTGTGCAGGTATAGTAGATGAAGGCCAGTGTGGTTTTGGAGGCTGAGAGAAAACAGTTGCTGGATAACTGGCGTGACTTCACACCGAGCTGTTGTCAGGCTGCACGGTGGATCATCTGTGCTGTTAAACGTGTCGCACGCAGCTTAATGAATTCACAAAACTTTCAGAAGTTAAGAGTGCAAATAAAGAGCTGAGCTTGTGCTGACAGAGGAAAACCTTGGTTTTTCTAAATTTAGCCACGCAGTAATTGGAAGAAAACTGGATGATATTGCAGAATTACTCAGCATATTTAGAGAGTGATACAAAGGAACTGGTTGTGCACTGGGTTTTTAATGAGCCCTCTGTGTTACGTCCAGAGTTGGAAGCCAATTTTGGAGCACCGCGTTTCAGCGCTCTAAGGGAATAAAGTGTAAAATGGCCCACAATTGACCGGCTGGTGCTCATCAAAAACAACCTACGCTTCTTGATATAGTGACATTAATTTATAATGAAACTAAAAAATTAAACTCCACGCTTTTAAGCAGCTACTTTGGGACTGTTTCTGCCTGATTTTACAAACCTCTCTTTAATGCTTTATAACTTCTTATGCAAACACTACAGCTCCATGGCTTCATGGTTAACGGTTTAAATTTTAGCGTTAAATAAAAAGCACAAGTTGCCTAAATTATTTATCTCTAAGAATTAAATGAATCCAAAAAACATTTTTGTGGCGCACTTTCTTTGAAGCTACAGTACTTGACCAGTATTGTACTTATCAGTTCAAAATTGATTCAGACAGGTTAGCTGGCCTGTCTGTTCAGGTCTGTGTTTGTGTTTTCACCAATCACAGCCAAGAGTTTTCAACAGTTCTTTTTTTTTATTGCAATTATTGAAATAAAAATTCAGTCTTAGTGGCGAACAAAACATAGACCATGTGCTTTCTCATGTAATCTCTTAAAAGAATATACAAAAGAATATACATGCATTTGTATGTATAAACAATGTATATAGTGCAACACTGAGGTTCTGGATGCAAAAGTCCCATTCATATTCTCCATAGAAATTTTGATTATGAGCCATAATGTAACCATATAATGTAAACTTAACATGAAAGATTGTGAAATGATGCTATGTGCTCCTGTAGAAAACACACATCTGTATTATTTCAACCTCGCTTTACCAAAAAAGCATTTTACTTGCAATACCAAGGAAAAAAACTACTCTGCCCATAATCCTGTATTGAAACGGCAATGCCTCTGCTTGGTGGATTTTACTGTTACCATGGAGATGGTTAAACCTATGAAGATCAGGTCAGTTAGTGAGAGCAAAATTTCAGAAATGGTGAGACTGGTGACTCCACTGAGGAATGAAGGACTGTACCATACAATAATGTCCAATGTCCTCATACATGGATCTCATTTGTCTAAGAAACAAAAATTAGGTAAAAAAAAAAAAATCTGGTAAATCTTTGTTTTTACATTCCTCGGATCCCAATCAACCCAAATAGCAAAGAAAAATTAAAAATGCATGCCATGAAAGAGTTCGGGTCTTAGGAGGTTAAGGCATTATGGAATAAGTAGTTCCTTCACTTTTAAAGATAATTATGCACACACTTTAACTGTTTACACATTTGCTTAACAAGCAAACATTCATGGGTCAATGAGCCCTTCTGAATAAAAGAGCAACCAACTACAGCATCTTTGTACACTAGGGATGCACCGATACCACTTTTTTGGAAACGAGTAC